TGGAGCATGTCACCATAATAAATGTTTGTAATTTTAGAGTAGTGGGCAGTTATGATGTATTAGGACGTTTCTTCCTCATTTCTCTCTGAATCTTTCTCTGAATTCTTCTAAACTCTTTTTCTCTATTGTATTGATTGGAGTTAGTGCTCACTCTAAGAGCATTCATAAATTGTTCGTATCAATCTGGTGCTTTCATTGAGAGACAAATGGCTGATCCGGCTTTGATTTCAGAAATTGTGAATGCCGTCCAATCTCATTTTGATAACCAATCCATTACCCTTCATCAACTCTTACAACAATACATGGCCAAAGTTGATAATCGGCTTGATGAACTCCAGTCCCAAATTAATATCAGTACTTCCGCTTCCGGAAGAACCCAAGGGTCTTCATCTCGCCATCCACATGCATTTGAATCGTCACCCTCTTCCTCTGAGATATCACCTTCTCTCAGATCTATGAAGATGGAGGTGCCGAAATTTGACGGGACCGACCCCGATGGGTGGATATTCAGGATTGAGGAATTCTTCGATTTTCTCGCTACACCTGAAGAGTTACGCCTTCGTATCGTCTCTTTTCACATGGAAGGAAAAGCAGCAGCATGGTTTCAATGGATGAAATCGAACAATCTTTTAACTGATTGGAAAGCTTTCCTGGTCAATTTGAAGCACCGATTTGGTAGTTCTGTATATGAAGACCCGGAGGGCGCTCTGTCCAAGCTTGTACAAAACACATCCGTAGCTGAATTTCAGTCAGCGTTTGAAGATCTGATGAACAAGGTACGAGGAATTTCAGAATCTCTGTTAATCAGTTTTTTTGTTACGGGACTGAAGCCAGACATTCGCCGTGAATTGCTTCTCAATCGTCCGTCATCCTTAATGGAAGCATTTGCCCTCGCACGCGCTTATGAGGCACGGGCCGAAGAAATGAGATTCAATTTACGAATTGGGCCCAAAGGGAATCAGACCAGCCCACAAGCCCATTTTTCACAGCCTAACGCCCATGCTCTAAATTCTGGGTACACTCCGAAACTTCCAACAACGTTCACTACCACTACAGATTCTAGTACACAGCCCCGGAAAAATCTCTTCCCAAAACCTACTTCAGTTTTGGAAAACCAGCAGCCTCTTTTACCCACTCCAAATATTCCCAAGTTACCACTTCGACGACTAACAGAAGCAGAGCTTCGTGCAAAACGAGAAAAAGGCTTGTGTTATAATTGTGACGAGCGCTATACTCCTAACCACCGCTGCCGAAGCCGATTCTTATGCCTCTTGGGAAATGATGATGATGACGAACTAGGTGGGGAGGCGAATAGTGATCCAAATCCAGATGAGGAGTTGGTGACGGCGGATATCTCGAGCCTTAATACATTAGCTGGTCAATCGAACCCAAGATCATTACGAATTGCGGGAAAAATTAAAGGAAAAAATCTCCAAGTCTTGATTGACAGTGGCAGTACGCACAATTTCATTAAAACTTCGGTTGCAGAGTCCTTGGGATTACCGGTTGAGTCGACAAATAAATTCAGAGTTTATGTCGGCAATGGGGACCACATGGTCTGTGAATATTCATGTCCCTCTGTTGAACTGGAATTACAACATAATATATTTTCTGTTGACATGTACGTCTTGCCTATCGAAGGCCCTGATTTAGTTCTTGGAATACAATGGTTACGTCAGTTGGGACGAGTTTTTCATGATTATACGGCCATGACAATGGAATTTGATTGGTGCGAAAAGCAGGTGGTTCTAAGAGGGGAAGCCCGTTCAATGTCATCACCAGTTACATATCACCAGTTGCAAGCAATTATTGATAGTGATGACTTTGATTGTCTATACGAGGTTCATTTTCAGGAGTCGGATGGGCAACCAAACCATAACAATAAACATGGAGATGCGGTTGAATTTCCCACGGGGTTACCTCCGGAGATCACAAATGTGTTGGAAAAGTTTTCGGGTGTGTTCTCTACCCCAAAGAGATTGCCTCCATTTCAGGAAATAGACCATCAGATTCACCTATTACCAGGAAGTGCACCAGTGAATGTTCGACCCTATCGTTATCCCTATTTTCAGAAAAGGGAAATTAAGAAGTTGGTTCAGGAAATGTTATCTCAAGGAATTATTCGGCCTAGTCGTAGCCCTTTCTCCTCACCAGTCCTCTTGGTGCGCAAGAAAGACGGTACGTATCGATTTTGCGTGGATTACAGAGCATTAAATGCCATCACGATCAAGGATAAATTTCCAATACCAACAGTAGATGAGCTGCTTGATGAATTGGGCCACGCCACCTGCTTCACCAAGCTTGACCTTCGTTCTGGATACCACCAAATACGGATGTACCCACGCGACATTGCTAAAACTGCTTTTCGGGCTATAGACGGACAATACGAGTTTGTGGTGATGCCTTTTGGATTAACCAACGCTCCTTCTACTTTTCAAGCAGCCATGAACCGAATTTTATCCCCGTATCTTCGAGATTTTGTTGTCGTATTTTTCGATGATATATTGATATATAGCAATCACTTATCAGACCACGTGAACCATCTAGTCACAGTCTTGGGTCGTTTACAACACCACCAATTTTTTGTTAAATTGGGCAAGTGCACATTTTTTCAATCTACCGTGGAGTATTTAGGGCATATTGAGTCTGCCGGGATCGTACACGTTGACCCTAAAAAAATCGAGGCAATTAAGCAATGGGAGTCACCCACGAACTTGAAGCAGTTGCGTGCATTTCTGGGGTTAGCGGGCTATTACAGACGTTTTGTCAAAGGATACGCGACGATAGCAGCTCCTCTTACTGATTTGTTACGTAAGGATGCATTTATTTGGTCTGAGGGTGCTCAACATGCCTTTTCACAACTTAAGCTCAAATTGATCGAAGCCCCTATTTTACATTTAGCGGATTTCTCTAAGCAATTTATTCTGGAGACTGATGCTTCTAATGTTGGCTTGGGGGCTGTATTAATGCAAAATGGGTATCCTATTTCCTATTTTAGCAAGAAGTTGAATAGTAGACAGTTGGTTGCTTCTACATACATTAAAGAACTAACCGCTATCACAGAAGCTGTTCGAAAATGGCGTCAATATCTTCTCGGTCGTCCCTTCATAATTCGTACAGATCATAAAAGTATAAAGGAGCTATGGCAGCAGACTATTCATACACCAGAGCAACAAAAATATGTGTACAAATTGCTTGGCTTTGACTTTGTTATCGAGTACAAACCGGGATCTTCAAATGCAGCCGCTGATGCTCTATCGCGCATGCATGAAAGTCACTCGTCTAGTGAAAGAGTTCATTGTTGTGCTTTCATTTCCCAACAACAATTTGATTTGTGGGCGGCTATCAAACGAGAAAACGAGGTTGATGAAGAACTGGTAAAGTTACACAATTGTTTTGTGAAGGGTGAGTTGAACTCTAATTATACCGTCTTTGATGGCATGCTATTTTTTCGGCGAAGAGCACTTATTGGGTCTTCTTCGAGTCTGAAAGACAAATTGCTGCTAGAATGTCATGCGACTCCTATTGCTGGTCATGTTGGTGTCAAGCGAACCTTGGCTCGTTTATCCCAATCATTTTATTGGGTCAATATGCGAAGAGACGTTCAAAAATTCGTTTCTTCCTGTTTGGTTTGCCAACAAATCAAAACTTCAACCCAACCTCCAGCCGGACTCCTGCAACCTTTACCTATTCCGACCTTGGTATGGGATGAGGTAACTATGGATTTCATCACCGGTCTACCACTTTCCAAGGGTTATTCGGCTATTTTAGTGGTTGTTGATAGATTGACGAAGGCGGCACATTTTGGGCCTCTCAAGCCTAACTTCACTGCTTATAAGGTGGCTGAGTGTTTTACTGACCTGGTGGTTAAGCACCATGGAATTCCAAGCTCGATTATCACAGACAGAGATCCTATATTTCTCAGCTCATTTTGGGAACACCTATTCACCTTCAGCGGGACCACTTTAAAACGCAGCACTGCGTATCATCCGCAAACGGACGGTCAAACGGAAGTCGTTAATCGAAGTTTGGAGCAGTACCTTCGTGCTTTTACTCATGAGAAACCCGCGGACTGGTCCAAATATCTCCCTTGGGCTGAATTTAGTTACAATACAAGCTACCATAGTGGTTTAAAAATGTCTCCTTTTCAAGCACTTTTTGGACGAGAACCTCCAACCATTCCACGAAATCAACCGGGGTCCTCAGAAGTTCAGGCCGTAGATGAGCAGTTATGTGACCGTGACTCTCTCTTACGTACAATCCGGGAAAATTTGTTACAGACCCAAAATCAGATGGCCCAAAAGGCTAATGCCCACTGTCGAGAATTGGAGCTACAGGTGGGTGACTATGTCCTTCTCAAATTGCAGCCTTATCGCCAAACCTCTATTGCATATCGACCTTATCGAAAACTTTCAAAGAAATATTTTGGTCCGTTCAAAATCTTGGCTAAAATTGGGTCAGTTGCTTATAAATTGGAGTTGCCGCCTGATAGTCGTATCCATCCAATTTTCCATGTTTCGTTACTAAAACCGTATAAAGGGGATCTACCACCAAACCTCAGATTACTACCATCGACTAATGTGGGGTGCCACCCAATTCTAGAGCCATTAGCCGTGTGTGCTCGCCGTGCTATATTACGACGCGGCCATATTGTTCCACAGGTCTTAGTTCAATGGACATCTTCAACACCTGAAGATTCCACCTGGGAGGACTGGGACGAATTTCATAAGGCATATCCGACAGTTAACCTTGAGGACAAGGTTGATTCTCAAGAGGAGAATGATGATACGGCTCAACCCGTTATTAGCCCGACTCCGGACCAACCCACGTCAACAACCAAACCAACCCGAGACAGGAAGACTCCCTTTTGGCACAAAGACTATGTCATACATTGAGCACGTGGAAGAATAAAGGAGTGTGTTAGTGGAGCATGTCACCATAATAAATGTTTGTAATTTTAGAGTAGTGGGCAGTTTTGATGTATTAGGACGTTTCTTCCTCATTTCTATCTGAATCTTTCTCTGAACTCTTCTAAACTCTTTTTCTCTATTGTATTGATTGGAGTTAGTGCTCACTCTAAGAGCATTCATAAATTGTTCGTATCAAACAACCTTATATATATATTTTTAAATTGTTCAAAAACTTACTATTTTATAATTTATAAAATATAAATTTCATTTATTACTACGAGCTTTAAGAGCATAATAATGGTGACAGGAACCAAATTCCTGTCGGCCAATTTTTTTTTATATATTTATTTATTTATTTATTATTATTATTATTAATTTATTAGGCAGTAATTTCCCCCTTTTTTTAATAATTAATTTCTTTTATATATTTTTTCAAGTTGGGATGAGTATTCATGAAGGTGATGATTACAGATGATGGTAGTAAGGGATTTTAATTTGATAAGTAGCCATAAGATTGAGACATATGAATGGTATTTGCATGTGCAAAATAATTTTTGCTTATCTCATTTTTTTTTTATTATTATTATTTTTTGAATAAGAATAATGTTTGTGCCGTATATCTGTTTTTTACTGTTATGACATGTATTGTTGTACACAGTTTTGCTACGGAGCCATCAGATGACTCGACTTAATTATGGAGCCACCACAATTATTTACAAATAGTGTATTGACATGTGTTCTACAATAAAATACACTTTGGACATGTGTCAATACATTAAGTGATGGATGACTCCATAAAATTTTTGTTGTTGTACATAGGGCAAGTTTGTCACTCTCTGATAATTGTACGTTTTTTTATCGTTTAATTAATACACACACATATATATATATATATAT